CCAGGGGTCGTTTCACTGGCCCTAATCACCATCTCCACTTGTTTATCAGAGGTAAGTTGCCCCTTAAAACCACTTAGTAGCGATATTTGAAGCCATTTCACCTTTTTTTGGGCGACTTGATCAAAATCCCCCGGCTTTAAGTCGCCTTTTCTTGCATATAATCCAAGTTCCCGACGTCAATATTGTTTTTATCAACAAGTTTCAAGTTATTTTAACAAGTTTCAAGTGTATTCTATTTATTTAAACAAGTTTCTATACCTGTTTTTACAAGGAATTGAAGATAAATCATTTTTTTTCCTCTCAATTTCCAGACTTACGCCAATGCAGTGTTCGAACTCAGACTGAAAAAGTTTTCCAACCGCGACGGTCGAGATACTGAAGGGAATTGCTGCAGCGGCTTCAGAAACACTCAGGGCGAGTGCACAGGCACTTGTAGCACCAAGTTCCGAGTGTGTCTCAAAGTCTATCAGGAGATAATCGACCCTAAATCCCCTTGCACGTTTGGGGAGGCGATTTCTCCCATTCTGGGCGAGAATGAAGTGGATTTCAGCAAGGCGGATTTGCAGGATTTTGCCAATCCCGTGCGATTTCAGTTGGCTTCGTGGCAGGTAAGATATCGGGAGTGTTAATTAAGATATCCGAGTGTTAATTAAGGACTCACAGATCCTCTCGAAGTGCTAAGATTTGTGGAAATGTGGATTACATTGTTAATTTTGGACAGTTTAACAGCCTATTTAGCGAGTGGATTCGGTGGATAACGAGTGGATTCGGTGGATAACGAGTGGATTCGGTGGAAAATACGTTTGTGATATCAGTGGATACCCAAAAAGGACTTTAAATCCCCTTACAAGATCAAATTCACCCGGAAAAAAGTACACATAAAGTGATTTAAATCGTGTGTATGTGTATATATATGTGTGGGAAGCAACTCAAACATACATATGTACGTCCGTGTATGTGTGTATATATATATATGTACGTGTGTACACAGCGAGAGAAAGAGCTCATGAAAGCCGCTTCTTGTAGCAGTTAAACAAGTTTTTTTTTTTTATCATCTTGAAGTTCCTAGACAAGATTCCTTTTACACGTAACTCGTTCTGGTGTTCAGAGCCTTAGTTCCCACGGTCCTGGTCTCGTGTATGTCTTCTAATTTTCTCCTAGTGAAACTACGGTTTAAGAAAAGAAAATTAGAATTTAATAAGAAAAAAACCCAAATCGAGTGAATTTAAACCCCAAAAATTGTGTTTTTTAGAACTTAATTCGTGTGTGTGTTTAGAAAATTTTTTTAAAGCAAAAATGTTTAATGAATTGGTTTAATTGGCTTGTTAATGAGGCGGTAGGCCTGTTGAAAGGTAGTTAAAACCTTCAGTAATGAGGCCTAGTGTAGGTGTCTGGCCTATTTTGGTGTTGAAATTGTGTGGTCTAGCCTGTTGAAAATGGGAGGCCTATCCTAGTGTACGTCTGGCCTATCCTGTTGAAATTGAGGCCTATCCTGTTGCAATTGGGAGGCCTATCCTAGTGTACGTTTGGCCTATCCTGATGAAATTGGGAGGCCTATCCTAGTGTACGTCTGGCCTATCCTGATGAAATTGGGAGGCCTATCCTAGTGTACGTCTGGCCTATCCTGTTGAAATTGGGAGGCCTATCCTAGTGTACGTCTGGCCTATCCTGTTGAAATTGAGGCCTATCCTAGTGTACGTCTGGCCTATCCTGTTGAATATGAGGCCTATCCTCTTGAAATTGGGAGGACTATCCTAGTGTACGTCTGGCTTATCCTGATGAAATTGGGAGGCCTATCCTAGTGTACGTTTGGCCTATCCTGTTGAAATTGAAGCCTATCCTAGTGTACGTCTGGCCTATCCTGATGAAATTGGGAGGCCTATCCTGTTGAAATCATGTGGCCTATCCTAGTGTTGAAATCATGTGGCCTATCCTAGTGTTGAAATCATGTGGCCTATCCTAGTGTTGAAATCATGTGGCCTATCCTGTTGAAATTGGCAGGCCTATCCAAGTGTGGAAATTGTGTGGCCTATATCCTTAGGCCAGGCTCGTGTAGCTGGCCTATCCCAAGGACAGGGCTAGTGTGGTTAGGCCTGCTACTAAGCCGGCTCCCCTAGGCTCGTGTGTGGCCTAACCAAATGCACCAACCAGTGGATATACCGTTGTAAATGGGCCATAAACCCATCGTTCACGGCCTACTTAAATTGGGTTGTTAACTCATAACTGAGTCTACATACCGGTGTTTAGGCGCTGCATAGGCCTATATAGTTTTTCTATAGGCTGTTTTGAAAAGAAAAACGCGTTTCCACTCCAAATCGAGGCACTTTTGGGGGATTTTGTGATTAATGAAACAGAGAGAGAGGACAATTGGACTGATTAATGTGTGTATATATATATATCTAAAATACTCATAGCGTTCAATGGAAAAGTAGCCATAGGCCTAAAAGTGGGACTTTTTCTTCAACAGGGGACTTTTTCGCTGATCATAGAGGCCTGGCATGGAGAATCGAACGGCACAGCCTCTTACGAAGGTGAGTTTCGAACACCACAGAGGTTTAAATTGTTATTTTTGAACTTTGATTTGAAGCCAAATTGTTGTTCCAATAATGTGATTTTTTGGGGGGCCTTCTTAGATATGTCTTATTCACTCGTAGCTTTATTTTCAGACTTGCTGGGTGTATTTCAGACTTGCTGGGTGTATTTCAGACTTGCTGGGTGTATTTCAGACTTGCTGGGTGTATTTCAGACTTGCTGGGTGAATTTCAGACTTGCTGGGTGTATTTCAGACTTGCTGGGTGTATTTCAGACTTGCTGGGTGTATTTCAGACTTGCTGGTTGTATTTTCAGACTCGTTAGCTGTATTTCAGACTCGTTGGTTGTAATTTCAGACTCGTTGGTTGTAATTTCAGACTTGCGGGTTGTGTTTCAGACTTGCTGGTTGTATTTCAGACGTATTGGTTGTAATTTCTGACTCGTTAGCTGTATTTCAGACTTGCTGGCTGTAATTTCAGGCTTGCTGGCTGTAATTTCAGGCTTGCTGGCTGTAATTTCAGACTTGCTGGCTGTAATTTCAGGCTCGTAGCTACATTTCAGACTCGCTGGCTGTAATTTCAGGCTCGCTGGCTGTAATTTCAGGCTCGCTGGCTGTAATTTCAGGCTCGCTGGCTGTAATTTCAGGCTCGCTGGCTGTAATTTCAGGCTCGCTGGCTGTAATTTCAGACTCGCTGGCTGTAATTTCAGACTCGCTGGCTGTAATTTCAGACTCGCTGGCTGTAATTTCAGACTCGCTGGCTGTAATTTCAGACTCGCTGGCTGTAATTTCAGGCTCGTAGCTACATTTCAGACTCGCTGGCTGTAATTTCAGACTCGCTGGCTGTAATTTCAGACTCGCTGGCTGTAATTTCAGACTCGCTGGCTGTAATTTCAGACACGCTGGCTGTAATTTCAGACTCGCTGGCTGTAATTTCAGACTCGCTGGCTGTAATTTCAGACTCGCTGGCTGTAATTTCAGACTTACTGGCTGTAGGCTAGTTCTGAAGTTACTTATTTTCTTGAGAATAATTGAACCTAAGATTACTGAATGCTTGAAATTCAGATATTTAGTCTTGACATTTTTACAGGAAAGATGGGAAATAAGTCTTAGCTAAGTTGCCTTGAGCTTAGACTTAAGCAAGGCTTAGACTTTGAGAGATTTGTCTCTTAAGGAACAATAGTTTCTTCAAAAGTCTTGGGTAGAGGAAATATGGAGATAAGAAATTCAGGTTTTTAAGCGTTCGTCGAAGGATATTTTTTAAGTTTTGTATTAAAACCAAAAAGATTTGTTAGTGAATTTTCGAGAGAATTTAAAGTCTTGTCTTTTTTTAATATATATATGGCTTAAAATCTCTCTAAATTGTGCAGCTTTAACTTATAATTAATTAAGTTCGCGCAATTTTGGGAAGATAGATTAGACTAAGTTGATAAGATTAATGTGAGCTTTGAAACGTCGAAATGATATTAGATTCAGCATTGATAAGATAGGCCTTTCGGCTTCAAAGTTTTGGCTAATATTTTGACTTGGCTATGAGTAGGCTGCTATAGGCCTATACATACACGTTAATATGTATCATTCAGTGATATATAAACACATATTATGACGATGTTTATATTCAAATTGTGTATTTTATGTATTTATATGAAGTAATTCATTTGTTAACACTTTCCATAGACTTGTGTTGTTGTATTAACTACCTACGCCGGTAGTTAAGGGGGGGGTGGGGGGGGCAGGAACATGTGACAATAGGCAATAAAAATACGAAACAGATGTGGGAGAGAGAGAGAGGAAGGGAGGGAGAGGGAGAGGGAGAGAGAGAGAGAGAGAGAGAGGGGGAGAGGGAGAGAGAGAGAGGGAGAGGGAGAGGGAGAGAGAGAGAGAGAGAGAGAGAGAGAGAGAGAGAGAGAGAGAGAGAGAGAGAGAGAGAGAGAGAGAGAGAGGGAGGGTTGGGAGGGAACCATGCTATCCTGTTCCCTTGAAGCCTCGTAGTTCCAAACTCACCACTACCTATTCAAGCTACTTTTCCCCATCTACTCAAGTAGAAGTAGATGTTACCAGAGTTTAAAAGTCTCAAATCAGCTTGTCTGTTCACGGTTAAAGTTGATATAGAGATTTTTAGTTTGGTAGCCTGGTGCTTGCTTGCCCTTCTCAAACTATTTCAAGATTCAATTCTAACCGACTTAAACTAGCGGATTAAGACTTCTCCGTCAGTACCTGAATGATGTAGCGTGTATATGTGGTTGTAAATGCTACTGGTAGGTGTGTGTGTAGGGGGGGAGGGAGGGGGTGGGAAGGGGGGGTTCAAAAGAGGAAGGGGGTAGGCTAAAAGCCATTAGCCGTGTAGTGGTGGTGGCGGTGGAAGTTCAGACACAGGAAATTACTGGTAGCTCGAGGCTCCACGGATGTGTTTTACCCTGAGGGCGTTCTAGGATACAGCCCCAGGGAACGAACACCCCCTCCCCCTCCCTCCCTGCCCCCCTGCTTGCCAGCAACCACAATTCAACCACCATTCTTGCGGGCGAGGGCTTGTTGTTCGCTAGGCTTGAGTTGGGGAGAGTTGAAATGCGAGAGGATGTTTGTTCTATCGGGGTTAAGGGGTGGTGGGGTTTAAGGGTGGGGGGGGGTCAGGTATAAGGGGGGAGAGGCCATACGGTTAACAGAACACATTTAGGGGCGGAAGTGTGGCTTGGGGGGGTTGGGGGGAGTGAGTTTTGAACGGAAGGAGGAGGAGGAACTTTGCCTTAAGACAAGCAGTAGTTTAATTAAGAAACCACCTCATTGGCACGTCGGCTCCTACCTCCTCCTTGCATACATGACTCGGGTTAGGACGCTTCGATACACCCGACTGAGCCACTATTTCTTATCGCCATTTCTTTGGCCCCTTCAAGAGAGTTAGCAGCCTAACACCACCGTCTTAGCGTTTGTTTGTGAGCCTTCCAGGAGTCGAAAACTTTCTAGTTGATATTGACCGAGTATAGAGCTATGTAAATATAGCATTGGCCTTCAGGGAGTGAGGGAAAAAAATTAGGATTTAGTTTTTAGCTGAGGTAGTGGAGTTCACTCGCCTTGGGATGTTTCCCATGGGTTAAGAGGCTTGTAACCCTCTCTCTCTCTGCCTGTTGGGCAAAACTGGTCTCTCTCTCCTCGCTCTGTAAGGCTTCTTGGGGCTTCCCGAAGCTCTTTCTTGGATACGTTGTTGTGCACTTTCTCAGTGACCGTGTGAGTCGTCTTTAAGATTGAACTCAAAGCGAAGAGCAGCGGCTACCATGTATTCATTCGCCTAATTGTGCTTGCTGAGGGGGTTGGGCTCTGGCTCTTTGGTCCCCGCCTCTCAACCGTCAATCAACAGGTGTACAGGTTCCTGAGCCTATTGGGCTCTATCATATCTACACTTGAAGCTGTGTATGGAGTCAGCCTCCACCACATCATAGCCTAATGCATTCCATTTCTCAACCACTCTTGACACTACAAAAGTTTTTTCTAATGTGTGTGTGTGTGTGTGTGTGTGTGTGTTCATAGGGGTTTGTGCAGTGTTTGAAAAATCGAAGCCTACTCATGGCATGTCGTATTATCGGGTTCCAGTCCGATACGGGTTTTTTTTTGTTCGGGAATTTTGATTAGTGACCATTAGCGTGTGAATATGTCAATTTCGTACATGGGAATGTGTTCATTCTTTCCAAGTTATGTCTCTCGCATTCAGATTTCAACCGTATCTCTATATATATAGTTTCCCGGGGTATCGAACCCGGGCCAGCTAGCTAGCTAGCCCTCCCTCAAGCCCACCATCTCCCCCGGTGTCAGACATCCATTTCCTGTAGCAGGAAAGTGCACAAAACCCAACCAATTTAGCGTGAAAGTCTTGTCTAGTGAGCTGGAAATCTTTCCTCCCTAAAATTAAAAAAATTATTTCCTCGCCTACTGCTTAAAGCTCAACTCAGTTAGATAGAAGTAGAACATATATATACATATAGCCATTTATATAAGAGAAAATATATATATATACATCAAAAATCGCTTGTTTCCCACGCGCGGTTAGGCCGTAAATGAGTAACAGTCTGAACGTGGCCATTGCAGACTCGCTTCAGGCGTTTGGGTAGATGGGTAGGGGAGGTAGGTGGGTAAGGGGGAGGTCTGGGTATTGGGGGAAGCGGTGGGGAAGGGGGGATAGACACCTGGTGATGGTTCCTACCCCCCTCCCTTCTCCTCCATGTTGCCAAACTCTGAAATCTCACGTTATTTTCGCTGTAAAATATCGCTTTTTTCCTGTTTACATTCGTCATTTACGGGTGGTGGAGGGTCTTAGACGAGGCAGTGAGGTAGTTGGGTTGTTAATTGGCTCTGGGGGATGGTGATTAGAGGCCTGGGAGTTGTTAGGTGGTAGTGGCGGTATTGTGTATGCAAGAGATGGTTCCGAGCGACCCTGCCACCCCCCACCACACCCCCTTGCTCCATGAGAGCTTTGGTGGCTAGTTTCCCACGCCCTCGTGTGCTTCCATGCACTCCCAGGCATTTTGTTTGTCTCCATCATCTCCTTGTGCCCCCCCCTCTCAGTCTGCCTAGCCTCGGTGTGCCTGGCCTCAGTTTGCCTGGCCCTCAGTCTGCCTGGGCCCTCAGTGTGCCTGGGCCCTCAGTCTGCCTGGGCCTTCAGTTTGCCTGGGCCTTCAGTCTGCCTGGCCCTCAGTCTGCCTGGGCCTTTAGTCTGCCTGGCCTCAGTCTGCCTGGGCCTTCAGTCTGCCTGGGCCTTCAGTCTGCCTGGGCCCTCAGTCTGCCTGGGCCCTCAGTCTGCCTGGGCCCTCAGTCTGCCTGGGCCCTCAGTCTGCCTGGGCCCTCAGTCTGCCTGGGCCCTCAGTCTGCCCTGGGCCCTCAGTCTGCCCTGGGCCCTCAGTCTGCCCTGGGCCCTCAGTCTGCCCTGGGCCCTCAGTCTGCCCTGGGCCCTCAGTCTGCCCTGGGCCCTCAGTCTGCCTGGGCCCTCAGTCTGCCTGGGCCCTCAGTCTGCCTGGCCCTCAGTCTGCCTGGCCCTCAGTCTGCCTGGGCCTTCAGTCTGCCTTTTCATCTGACAACATTATATCAAATTCTATTGATCAGTGAGACTTGCTGTTAGCCTTTAGACGCCTCTCGTCGGCGTTCCTTAAATGGCCAATTAACCTTAAGTCTTATTTATAAGTCTATTAATATTTATATATAAGTCTTAAGAATTCAGTAATTAACCTTAAGTCTTTTTTAAGCATGCTGACATATATAGGCCTAAAACCTGGCCTGGTAGGCCTAACTGGTCTAAAATATCCAATATATTCTCGTGGGATCTGTAAAAAAAAAGATATATTCAAAATAGAATATTATTTTAATTTTTTTTTTGTTGCTCTGATGTCGAAGGCCTTTGGTTTACCTGTGGAGGATTTCGAGGGTCTTAAAACGGCTTTTAAAAAGCCTTGAAATCAGCCTTAAAAGGCCTTAAAAAGCCTTGAAATCAGCCTTAAAAGGCATTAAAAACTTAAAATCAGCCTTAAAAGGCATTAAAAAGCCTTAAAATCAGCCTTAAAATCAGCCTTAAAAGGCATTAAAAAGACTTAAAATCAGCCTTAAAAGGCATTAAAAAGCCATAAAATCAGCCTTAAAAGAATAAATGGAAAAAGGGGGTTCGTAATTTTTTTTGGGGGGGGGTTGGACCCCCTAGCGTATGGCTAGTTCGTGGATAGGTATGTACTACAAGGGTGAACAGAGGCATCAGGTTCCCAGAATCAAATGCCTCGAACCGACCTGCCTGAAAATCTATCGCACACGATAGATGGTGTTTTTATCTATCCCACGATAGATATTTTTTGAGGGGTGGTGGTATGTACTTATCTAGTTGTGTGTATGTGTGAAGAGTTGAGCTCTAGTTCCTTGGCCCCGCCTGGCTGAAAAATATAATTTTGTCTCTCTGTCCATTCAGGTCTTGTCCTTATCTGAAAAATCTAATTTTTGTCTCTCTTTCCATTCAGGTCCTGTCCTTATCTGAAAAATCTAATTTTTGTCTCTGTCCACTCAGGTCTTGTCCTTATCTGAAAAATCTAATTTTTGTCTCTGTCCACTCAGGTCCTTATCTGAAAAATCTAATTTTTGTCTCTGTCCATTCAGGTCCTGTCCTTATCTGAAAAATCTAATTTTGTCTCTGTCCATTCAGGTCCTGTCCTTATCTGAAAAATCTAATTTTTGTCTCTGTCCATTCAGGTCCTGTCCTTATCTGAAAAATCTAATTTTTGTCTCTGTCCACTCAGGTCCTTATTTGAAAAATCTAATTTTTGTCTCTCTGTCCATTCAGGTCCTTATCTGAAAAATCTAATTTTTTGTCCCTCTTTCCACTCAGGTCCTGTCCTTATCAGTCGACTAATGACCCAAAGATGGCTGGAATTAGGAGACGATTGGGAAGAAGATAACCACAGAACTGCTCATTCCTCTCTGAGTTACGAGTACAGAGTCAGCTGCCAGGAGCACTACTATGGCCAAGGCTGTCGGAAATGGTGTCGCCCTAGGAACGATTCCTTCGGGCATTATGTCTGTAATGCCACGGGCTACTTGGTGTGTCTGGATGGCTGGCAAGGCACCCATGATTACTGTATAACTCGTAAGTATATATAGACATCATACAAGTGTGTATACATATGTATTTCAACCTATCTTCCTGTCTAATAGACAAAAATTCCTATTTTTCTAACTTTTTTAGATAGGATACTGACTAGTTAAGGAATTCTTTTCACATAAACGAAGCTAAGGACATTAACTTACATATTCCTAAGCTCTAGTATATCGTACATATGTACTAGATTAGGCCTCATATATTGCATTAGGCCTAAGGGGAGGTTAGGCTAGATTAAATTAGTTTGTGAAAAGCAAAGTGCAAAATCATTTCCCCAGATTTGATCAACTTGGTAATTCAGATTTCTACTTTTCTAAATTTCTTTATATATATATATATGTCGTACCTAGTAGCCAGAACGCACTTCTCAGCCTACTATTCAAGGCCCGATTTGCCTAATAAGCCAAGTTTTCATGAATTAATGTTTTTTCGTCTACCTAACCTACCTAACCTAGCTTTTTTTGGCTACCTAATCTAACCTTACCTATAAAGATAGGTTAGGTTAGGTTAGGTAGGGTTGGTTAGGTTCGGTCATATATCTACGTTAATTTTAACTCCAATAAAAAAAAATTGACCTCATACATAGAGAAAAGGGTAGCTTTATCATTTCATAAGAAAAACATTATAGTAAATATATTAATTCAGGAAAACTTGGCTTATTAGGCAAATCGGGCCTTGAATAGTAGGCTGAGAAGTGAGTTCTGGCTACTAGGTACGACATATATATATATATATATATATATATATATATATATATATATATATATATATATATATATATATATATATAATATTTCGGGAAAAAGATTTTCAACTCAATGTTGCAAAGACTAAGCCTACCCTCCCTAGGCCTATGAGTATTGGGGTCTTATAAAGCCATTAGTAACAATTTCGACTATCTTGCCGCTTAGTAAGTCAATGTTTGTACTATGGGAGGCGGGGGGGGGGCAGTATCTTTTTAAGATAGTCAAAAGATACTAATTTATTAAACAGGAGGATAGGTTGGGATATTTAGTGATTTGTATAGGAGACGGGATTAGAAGTTAGGCCTCTTGGGTGGGGGTAGTTGAAATTAGGTCTGTCACCCCCCCCCCTCAATGGGGCAGCCGTGAGAACATGTCCCGCCTCTCAACCGTCAATCAACTGGTGTACAGGTTCCTGAGCCTATTGGGCTCTTGTCATATCTACATTATAAACTGTGTATGGAGTCAGCCTCCACCACATCACTGCCCAATGTGTTCTGTTAACTACTCCCACACTGAACAAGTTCTTTCTAATATCTCTGTGGCTCATTTGGGCACTCAGTTTCCACCTGTGTCCCCTAGTGCGTGTGCCCCTTGTGTTAAACAGCCTGTCTTTATCTACCCTATCAATTCCCTTGAGGATCTTGAATGTGGTGATCATGTCCCCCCCCTAACTGTATGTGTGTGTAGAGGCAGATGTTGTGTACCGATATCACAAAAGATAACAGTATTGCCTATTTAGCCCAGCTGTTTTAGATAGCTTATCAAGACCATATCAGCCAATTTCAGACTTAACGGTTGAGTGGATAGGCTTTTTTTTATTATTATTTTTTAAGTGTTTTTTCCTCAATTTCCTTTTCAGTTTTATTAACTTTGTTATCTCCCTTTGACAGCTATCTGTAGGGCGGGCTGCCACCCTGCTACAGGCCATTGTGAACAGCCGAACGAATGCAAGTAAGTATCCTAAATCCTGTTCTATCCCAAGTTAGAATAGGGGTTAGGCTAGTCCTTTATCGTCCACTGGTTAAGAGGGAGTGGCTAGGCTATCTATCCCTGTACTGTCCCTGGGTTTGAAGAGGGGCTAGGCTAGTCCTGTATCGTCCACTGGTTAAGAGGGAGTGGCTAGGCTATCTATCCCTGTACCGTCCCTGGGTTAGAATAGGGGTTAGGCTAGTCCTGTATCGTCCACTGGTTAGAGGGAGTGGCTAGGCTATCTATCCCTGTACCTGGTAAGAGGGAGTGGCTAGGCTGGGTCCCTGGGTTAGAATAGGGGTTAGGCTAGTCCTCCACTGGTATGGCTAGGCTATCTATCCTGTACTAGGGTTATCGTCCACTGGAGGGAGAGGCTAGGCTATCTATCCCTGTACCGTCCCTGGGTTAGAATAGGGGGCTAGGCTATCTATCCCTGTACCGTCACTGGGTTAGAATAGGGGTTAGGCTAGTCCTGTATCGTCCACTGGTTAAGAGGGAGTGGCTAGGCTATCTATCCCTGTACCGTCCCTGGGTTTGAAGAAGAGCTAGGCTAGTCCTGTATCGTCCACTGGTTAGAGGGGAGTGGCTAGGCTATCTATCCCTGTACCGTCCCTGGGTTTGAAGAGGGGTTAGGCTAGTCCTGTATCGTCCACTGGTTAAGAGGGAGTGGCTAGGCTATCTATCCCTGTACCGTCCCTGGGTTTGAAGAGGGGGCTAGGCTATCTATCCCTGTACTGTCCCTGGGTTAGAAGAGGGGTTAGGCTAGTCCTGTATCGTCCACTGGTTAGAGGGAGTGGCTAGGCTATCTATCCCTGTACCGTCGCTGGGTTTGAAGAGGGGGCTAGGCTATCTATCCCTGTACCGTCCCTGGGTTTGAAGAGGGGGCTAGGCTATCTATCCCTGTACCGTCCCTGGGTTTGAAGAGGGGGCTAGGCTAGCCTATCCTATCGATTCCCTTACCCAGTAGTCTCTTGGCGAGAATTAAAGGCGATATAATTTTGGACGTTCTGTTTGTCGAACAATTTTGCTTTAAAAATATCAACTACATCCTTAAAAAAGGGAAAATTTTGGGTTTTTGAATGTTTTAGGTAAAGCTCTAGAAGTTAATGTTTGTTAATTGGTGGTTGATAAATGGTGGTTGATTGATACTGAGGCAGTAAGGTGGATGAATTGGCTGACGGAATAGGTGAAGGGATGACGTTTCGGTCCGTCTTGGACTATTGAATGGTCCAGGACGGACCGAAACGTCGTCGTCCCTTCACCTTCTAGTGTGTGTGGTCTGGTCAACAGTATTATTCCTTTAAACTGCCAGTACTCGCCTAGTTGTACTCACCTAGTTGTGTTTGCGGGGGTTGAGCTCTGGCTCTTTGGTCCCGCCTCTCAACCGTCAATCAACAGGTGTACAGATTCCTGAGCCTATTGGGCTCTGTCATATCTACACTTGAAACTGTGTATGGAGTCAGCCTCCACCACATCACCCCCTAATGCATTCCATTTGTCAACCACTCTGACACTAAAAAAGTTCTTTCTAATATCTCTGTGGCTCATTTGGGCACTCAGTTTCCACCTGTGTCCCCTTGTGCGTGTTCCCCTTGTGTTAAATAGCCTGTCTTTATCTACCCTGACGATTCCCTTCAGAATCTTGAATGTGGTGATCATGTCCCCCCCTAACTCTTCTGTCGACTAGGCGACTAGGAAGGCCTTTTTAACAGCCAATAAGATGACTCAAAGAATATCGATTTATTGAGGAAGGAAGAAAAAGAGGCCATCGCTGAATCGCGGCTTCGAAGTGTCTTATAAGTGTGTTATGAGTGTGTTATTGTGTCCCCCTCTTCCTTCAAGTGTATCACCTTACCCTTTCCTTCCCCTTCCGTCACTAGGTCATCCAAGAAGGAAGGGGGGGGGGGGAGGGGTTGGCCGCTTCCATATGGGGGAGATTAGGCTTCCAGCGAGAGAGGTGTCTGTGGGTATCGATTTTGTCTATAGGGAGAGGCTGGCTGTGTGCGTGTGTGCGTGCGTGCGTGTGTGTGCGTGAGGAAGGGCATCTCAGGTGTCGCTTCCTTAGGGGAGGGTAACCGCTGGTGTGTGTGTGGGGGGCGGCGCCCCTGGGAAAGAAGCCCTTAAGTTCCATATTGCCCACAGGGCACTTAAGTATTGGCCACAGCTTGCGTGAGATCGATAGAAGATGCCCTACGTGATGGGGTGGATTGGGGGGGGATTGGTAGTAGATGGGGGGACTTGAGATTGTGGTTGATTAGGGGGTTGGTAGTGGGGTTAAGCTTGTCAGGTTGGTTGAGGGTGGTGGTAGTGGAACGCTTAGCTTGCCAGGTTGGTTGGGGGGTGGTGGTGGAACGCTTAGCTTGCCAGGTTGGTTGGGGGGTGGTGGTGGAACGCTTAGCTTGCCAGGTTGGTTGGGGGGTGGTGGTGGAACGCTTAGCTTGCCAGGTTGGTTGGGGGGTGGTGGTGGAACGCTTAGCTTGCCAGGTTGGTTGGGGGGTGGTGGTGGAACGCTTAGCTTGCCAGGTTGGTTGGGGGGTGGTGGTGGAACGCTTAGCTTGCCAGGTTGGTTGGGGGGTGGTGGTGGAACGCTTAGCTTGCGAAGTTGGCTAACCAAATGTTCTTTCGTGTCTTGCAGATGTCACAATGGTTGGAAGGGTCCGAACTGCGACCAGTGTGAGAAATATCCCGGCTGCTTGCACGGCACTTGCGAGAAGCCTTGGCAATGTGCTTGCGACGAGGGCTGGGGCGGCCTCTTCTGCAACCAGGACCTCAACTTCTGCACCAATCATCGCCCGTGCAAGAACGGGGCTACGTGTTTCAACACCGCTCCTGGTTCCTATTCGTGTCAGTGCCCACCGGGTTTCTCCGGTACGAACTGTGAGATTATCAACGACACCTGTGCCACTACTCCGTGTCGGAACGGTGGCACTTGTCTGGACACAGGTGATGATAATTTCGTGTGCCAATGTCCCTCTGGGTACACCGGGCAGTATTGCGAGATTTCCGGACAGTCTTGTGCCGATAGACCGTGTATGCACGGCGCAACCTGTTCCGACACCACTACAGGCTACAAATGCCTGTGTCACGCCGGCTACGAAGGCCCGAATTGCGAACGACCCGTTAACGAATGCGCCTCCGATCCGTGCCTGAATGGTGGCTCGTGTGTTGACGAACACGATGGCTTCGAATGCGTGTGTCCTGTCGGCTACAGCGGTTCGCGGTGTCAGACCAACATTGATGACTGTTCGCACCGGCCCTGTCTCAATGGTGGCACCTGCATTGATGGCATTGATTCCTACGTGTGCCGCTGCGTCCCTGGCTTCCTGGGGACTTTATGCCAAACCAATGTCGACGATTGCAGCACGAGGCCCTGTGCTAATGGCGGCACTTGTATGGATGGCATCAATGATTTCCAGTGCCAATGCAAACCCGGTTGGGCAGGCCGGCAGTGCACGGAGACTGTGCAGATTGCGTACTCGCCCTGTGCCTCTTCGCCTTGCAGCAATGGCGGCCATTGCTTGGAAGCTCCGGATCTTGCAGTGGGATACAAGTGCTCGTGTCCCCATGGTGTGGGCGGCCCGCGGTGCTCCATCGACACTTCGAAGACATCGCCGCAGACGGGAAAGGTCGTCGAACCCATGTCACCGGCCCAGGTGGTGTTGATCGTGGTGTTCAGTGCCGCGGTGCCAGTGCTTGTTGTAGTATCAGTGCTGGCGATAGTGTGCATGAAACGCAAGCGCACGCGCGATCGCGCGCGACAAGACGAAGAAGCCCGCCGCCAGAACGAGCAGAATATGGCGCATAACGCCGTTAATGCCGTCAATAACAAATGCCTGGAAGACCATATGATCTTTAACTCCCTGGATTATCCGGCCAAACCCCTGAACACTCAGCTACAGGGACCCCACCACCAGGAGCCGGAGTACAAGAAGGTGTCCGAGAACACGTACAGCATCGTGCCCACAAGGAGTTCCAAGACGCTCAACACCGACGTCTCGAGGTTGTCTTTGGCAGATCGACTGGAGAAGGACCTCGAGGCTCTCACCTGTCGAGGGACTCCCACCTCGGAGTTCGGCGTCCCGTGCAAGGTCATCCCAGATGCACATCTGCCTCGCACACACAGTCACAGGTGAGATATATGCGTGTGTGTGTTCTCTCTCGTGTACTCTATGGCTCTTTATCTCTTGTACTCTACTGCTCTCTCTCTCCCTTTTACTCTACTGCTCTCTCTCTCTCTCTCTCCCGTGTACTCTACTGCTCTCTCTCTCTCCCGTGTACTCTACTGCTCTCTCTCTCTCTCCCGTGTACTCTACTGCTCTCTCTCTCTCCCGTGTACTCTACTGCTCTCTCTCTCTCTCCCGTGTACTCTACTGCTCTCTCTCTCTCTCCCGTGTACTCTACTGCTCTCTCTCTCTCCCGTGTACTCTACTGCTCTCTCTCTCTCTCCCGTGTACTCTACTGCTCTCTCTCTCTCTCCCGTGTACTCTACTGCTCTCTCTCTCTCTCCCGTGTACTCTACTGCTCTCTCTCTCTCTCCCGTGTACTCTACTGCTCTCTCTCTCTCCCGTGTACTCTACTGCTCTCTCTCTCCCGTGTACTCTGCTGCTCTCTCTCTCTCCCTCACCCCCCCTTCTCTCTACCTCCCTCACCACCCCCTCTCTCTCCCTCACCCCCCTCTCTCTCCCTCACCCCCTCTCTCTCCCTCACCCCCCTCTCTCTCCCTCACCTCCCTTCTCTCTCTCCCTCACCCCCCTTCTGTCTCCCTCACCCCTCACCCCCCCCTCTCTCTCCCTCACCTCCCTTCTGTCTCCCTCACCCCCCCCTCTCTCTCCCTCACCTCCCTTCTCTCTCTCCCTCACCCCTCACCCCCCCCGTCTCTCTCCCTCACCCCCCCTCTCTCTCCCTCACCCCCCCTTCTCTCTCTCCCTCACCCCCCCCCCTTCTCTCTCTCCCTCCCCCCCCTCCCCCTCTCCCCCCACCCCCCCCCTCTCTCTCCCTCACCCCCCCCTTCTCGCTCCCCTCCCTCACCCCCCCTCTCTCTCTACCTCCCTCACCCCCCCCCCCCCTCTCTCTACCTCCCTCACCCCCCTTCTCTCTCTCACCCTCACCCCCCCTTCTCTCTCTCCCTCCCCCCCTCTCTCTACCTCCCTCACCCCCCTTCTCTCTCTCACCCTCACCCCCCCCTTCTCTCTCTCTCCCCCCCCCCCCCCTCTCTCTACCTCCCTCACCCCCCCTTCTCTCTCTCACCCTCACCCCCCCCCCCCCCCTTTTCTCCCTCACCCCCCCCCCCTCTCCCTCACCTCAATGTTGACAAACAATGATGCCAAATTAGCGCTTTCTCGCTACAATAACCCATACAGTATATATATATATATATGACGCTAATATTAGCGTTTTTAAAACCCCCCGTGGCGCCGCTAACTCTCTAAACGTCTCTCTTTTGTTTCCTTCCAGCGATGTGTTTATGAAGCGAGGCGGGAGCTGTGACATCAACACATCAACCAACACCTTGACATCAGCGTGTTCACCCTCGACCTGCACTACGCCCTCTAGCGTGTTCGTTATAGAAGAACATTACGAGAGTGAGAACTACATTGCTACGGAGGTCTAGGGACGGGGGGCCTCTGTGAAGATGTGGTTCCTTAAGGAGGGACTCAAGAGACACTTTTTCTGAAGTGCATTGTGCTAGTGACGCCAAAAAAATTGGAAATGAGATGAGTTACTGTGGATAATATTGTGAATGTTGTCTAATCTTTTTTTTCCCTGTTCTATCTTTCTTTATATTTTCCTTCTGTTTCTTTCCCAGACCCAGAAATTCTCCTTTTGTAAGTCTTCAACTGTGTTAAAGTGCTTTTGTTTTGACTGTTGAATGTTTAAACCCTTTTATCTGTCTCTGTCTGTCTGTGTGTCTGTCTCTCTCTCTCTCTCTGTCTCTCTCTTTCTCTCTCTCTCTCTTTCTCTCTCTCTGTCTCTCTCTGTCTGTCTCTGTCTCTGTCTCTCTCTCTCTCTCTCTCTCTCTCTCTCTCTCTCTGTCTCTCTCTCTCTCTCTCTCTCTCTCTCTGTCTCTCTCTGTCTCTCTCTCTGTCTCTCTCTCTGTCTCTCTCTCTGTCTCTCTCTGTCTCTCTCTGTCTCTCTCTGTCTCTCTCTCTCTCTCTCTCTCTCTCTCTCTCTCTCTCTCTCTCTCTCTCTCTCTCTCTCTCTCTCTCTCTCTCTCTCTCTCTCTCTCTCTCTCTCTCTCTCTCTCCCTCCCTCCCTCCCTGCGGAAGTGATGTCACTTCTTTAGTCCAGAACACATCCAAAGATGTCATTAAGTTTAGTTTTTTTGTTCTTGGAAGAAAATGTTATTTATTTGTTAAAAAAAACCTAAGAAAACCCCCAAGTTTGTACGAGGTACAAAAATGAGTGTCTGTGCTGTGCCTTTGGAACAAGTGAACAAAAGTGGTGGAACACCTTTGTGACCGAGGCACAAGGGGGCTGTGGTGGTTGGCATTCTGTCTCACTGACAGGAGAGATAGATATATGATGGTGACTGTCCAGTTATACTGGGGGATGATTGACAAGGTGGTTATCTTGAGAGGTTATCTTGAGAGGTTATCGAAGGTGGTCTATGTCTTGAAGAACATCTTGGAGCGTGAAGATGCGACTTCTCAAGATAGTGAAGATGGTTCTCATTGGTCACTATATATATATATGTGTGTAGGGGAGATGGTGTCTTCTATGGCTGTGTCTTATGTCGCCTCTACGGACTCGATCTCAAGTCTTTCTCCTCCTTTACGCCCCGGATTGTCTCGGCTATGTACAAGGTTGTCCAAGATATGTCATTTTTTTATTTACATTGTATGATATAATGTAAGGGCGACTTTTTTCCCTACTCGCTCCACGGGAAAGAAAGTACTTACAACGTATATTGTTTTGATTGTTTTGATTCAATGAAGCTTGCGCCGGCATTGGCTGGTGGTCTAAGACGTCTTCTAATCTTGGAAGACGTTTCTGTCCTCTCGCGAAGCAGTTACGCAAGCACTTACGCACCTGGGGGCTAGATTCACGAAGCAGTTACGCAAGTATTTACGAACGTGTTCACATCTTTCCTCAATCTTTGACGGCTTTGTTTACATTTATTAAACAGTTTACAAGCATGAAAACTTGCCCAATCAGCTGTTGTTATTGTTATAAACAGCCTCCTGGTGCTTCGGAGCTCATTAACTGTTTAATAATTGAAAACAAAACCGCCAAAGATTGAGAAAAGATGTACAGGTTCGTAACTGCTTCGTGAATCTGGCTCCTGTCCGTGTTTTCTCAATCTTTGGCGACTTTGTTTACAATTATTAAACAGTTAATGAGCTCGGAAGCACCAGGAGGCTGTTTATAACAATAACAACAGTTGATTGGCAAGTTTTCATGCTTGTAAACTGTTTAATAAATGTAACCAAAGCCGTCAAAGATCGAGGAAAGATGTGAATCAAGTTCCTTAAGTACTTTAGTAACTGCTTCGTGAATCTGGACCCCAGGAAGCAGGCCATTTGCGTAGCTACGAAACGCAGGCTGACGCAGAATTGCGTCAAGAAATTACGGGGCTAAATTTATAGTGCAATGATAAATAGGTTTTTTTGTGTGTACTTAAAAAAAAGTACATTACTTACTTTTTGATGTTAAATGTGCCACAAGAAGGTATGGGCTTCCAGGACGCCCAAGATGGCTGTCTTTGACACTTAAACAAGTGAAGGGCCTCTAGGGTTAAAAAGTTCAAAATTATGTTTGAATTTATAGAGAAAATATGAAAGGTTTGAAATTTTGTTTTTGAAAGTGGTTTTTTTTTTTTGGACACTTTGAAGTATTGTGACAGTAAGGTCAAAGATTCACGAAGCAGTTACGCAAGCACTTGCTAACCTGGGGACCAGATTCACGAAGCAGTTACGCAAGCACTTGCTAACCTGGGGACCAGATTCACGAAGCAGTTACGAAAGTACTTAAGGAACTTGATTCACATCTTTTCTCAATCTTTGGCGGCTTTGTTTACAATTATTAAACAGTTAATGAGCTCGGAAGCACCAGGAGGCTGTTTATAACAATAACAACAGTTGATTGGCAAGTTTTCATGCTTGTAAACTGTTTAATAAATGTAACCAAAGCCGTCAAAGATTGAGGAAAGATGTGAACACGTTCGTAAGTGCTTGTGTAACTGCTTCGTGAATCTGGCCCCAGGTTCGTAAGTGCTTGCGTAACTGCTTCGTGAATCTGGCCCCAGGTTCGTAAGTGCTTGCGTAACTGCTTCGTGAATCTGGCCCCAGGTTCGTAAGTGCTTGTGTAACTGCTTCGTGAATCTGGCCCCAGGTTCGTAAGTGCTTGCGTAACTGCTTCGTGAATCTGGCCCCAGGTTCGTAAGTGCTTGCGTAACTGCTTCGTGAATCTGGTCCCAGGTTCGTAAGTGCTTGCGTAACTGCTTCGTGAATCTGGCCCCCAGGTGTTTTTCGAAGCGAGAATAGTCAACCAGGATGGTCTAGGTGAGAGATTACTATGACGAAAACGTTTGGGCAAACATGACCCCGTAATCCCCCCCCCTCCCCCTTACTGAGTACACCAGCGCCAACTGGAGGTATTTTCTACCCCCGGATCATGTCTACCAGTTGAACCGGATGAAAGGGGGGGGGGATTTATTTCTGTTACTGCCCCCCCCCCCATTTAAATGTTTATTTATGTTTACAAAAGTATTATAACATTCAGTTGAATCTATCCTCCCAATACAATTTTTTTTTAAATCTTTAATTTCTCGTTGAACATATTTATATATGTGTTTCTTAGCTGTCTTGCTGACCAATATGCATTTAATTTAACATTAAAAAAATGATGAATGTGTACATGGGTCATTAGACTCATCAGATCAACACGAATTAGAAGGTTAGAAGCATTAGAACGTGTTAGAAATTTTTTTTATCAAAAAAGTTCCTTGGGGGTTGATTGACAAGTCTAATATGTTCATTGGAGGTTGATTGACATGTCTAATATGTTCATTGGAGGTTGATTGACATGTCTAATATGTTCATTGGGGGTTGATTGACATGTCTAATATGTTCATTGGGGGTTGATTGACATGTCTAATATGTTCATTGGAGGTTGATTGACATGTCAAACACACTCTCTTGAAGATGATTGACACATCCAATCACCTGTCACTTTTGACAGGTGATCAAAACGTCACAGATGTGACGTTTTGACACATGTCAATGACAGGTTTAGTTAACATATTTATGCATCTATGTAAACACCCCCCCCCCTAGGATACATCAAGATTGTAAAACAATCACTTGAAGAAACCTGTACAATCATCCCGCAATCATGGCAGCTTTGTTTACAATCACAAGTTTAAAGAGATTGGGAACTCCACAATCCCCAGGTTTAAATTTATCTAAGTTTTGTCCCCGAGGGGCGAGTTTATTGGCCACTGGGAGTGGACACACACACCGTCATTTCACAGTATGGACTACACTCCCCAATAGGAAGAAATCCCCGTTTCAGATTCACAATCCTATCAATCCCCAAAATGTCATTGGTGTAAATTAACGTCCCCAGAGACCTTCAGCACTCACAAGGTTTCAATACAATACAAACACCCCCCTGAAATGATTGGTGAAAGAGATTGCTTGATGTGGACCACTTCCAATCCTTCCCCCCCCCTCCCAATCCCCTGCCCCCCTAATCGATGTACCGCATTGAACACAACAACTCAGCCTTGTGTGTGAAGAGACACTTCTCGATAATGTACTTAAAAATGTTTTTTGTATCGTGTCAAGGTTTTTACTAAATGTCAACCATTTAAGAGTATTTAAAAGTTTGTACATATGATATGTATATATTATGTATATATAATTCCTTTTGTCCTCGCGAAGGAATAAACTGAAGTCATATTTTTTCACATCTTGTATTTTTATTTCATGTATCCTGATTATTTTGAGATTTGAGTAGGCCTATAAGGCATGTTAGAAAGCCTGAGGCTTGTCAGAAAGCCTGAGGCTTGTCAGAAAGCCTTAGGCTTGGCAGAAAGCCTTAGGCTTGTCAGAAAGCTTTAGGCATGTCAGAAAGCCTTAGGCTTGTCAGAAAGCCTTAGGCTTGTCAGAAAGCCTTAGCTATGTCAGAAAGCCTTAGCTATGTCAGAAAGCCTTTGGCATGTCAGAAAGCTTTAGGCATGTCAGAAAGCTTTAGGCATGTCAGAAAGCCTTAGGCTTGTCAGAAAGCCTTAGGCTTGTCAGAAAGCCTGAGGCTTGTCAGAAAGCCTTAGGCTTGTCAGAAAGCCTTAGGCTTGTCAGAAAGCCTTAGGCTTGTCAGAAAGCCTGAGGCTTGTCAGAAAGCCTTAGGCTTGTCAGAAAGCCTTAGGCTTGTCAGAAAGCCTTAGGCTTGTCAGAAAGCCTTAGCTATGTCAGAAAGCCTTAGCTATGTCAGAAAGCCTTAGCTATGTCAGAAAGCCTTAGCTATGTCAGAAAGCCTTTGGCATGTCAGAAAGCTTTAGGCATGTCAGAAAGCTTTAGGCATGTCAGAAAGCCTTAGGCTTGTCAGAAAGCCTTAGGCTTGTCAGAAAGCCTGAGGCTTGTCAGAAAGCCTTAGGCTTGTCAGAAAGCCTTAGGCTTGTCAGAAAGCCTTAGGCTTGGCAGAAAGCCTTAGGCTTGTCAGAAAGCCTTAGGCTTGTCAGAAAGCCTGAGGCTTGTCAGAAAGCCTGAGGCTTGTCAGAAAGCCTTAGGCTTGTCAGAAAGCCTTAGGCATGTCAGAAAGCCTGAGGCTTGTCAGAAAGCCTTAGGCTTGTCAGAAAGCCCCCCTCCCCATCCGGCCCGTTGGCGTCGTGAGGGGGCTTGGTGGACGGCTGCCGGAGTGTGATGCTCCGTTGGGCAGTCCTCTGTCCTTTTCTGGCCTTGCACTCCTGCTGCTGTCTTCTCCAATTGTGCCGGATCGCTTTTCCTTTTCCTTATGTTTCGTTTTTCTCCCCCCTCTTCTCCTATCTTCTTGTCGTTTCCTGCCGACC